CTGGTCTTAAAGAGAAATCGCAAAGAATCTCGTGAGGGCAAGCTCGCAGTGAAATGGGAAGGTCCTTATCGCGTCTACGCGAAAACGGGGATTGGAGCGTATTACTTGGAAAACCTACAAGGGGAACAACTCGTTCGATCATGGAACGCTGAAAAGCTAAAATAATATTATAGTTAAAAATACTGAGCAATCGGCGAGTTGGTCGACAAGACAAACTCACCCAGGCCTGACCACGCGTGCATGCCTAGGCAAGAGCATTGCACCTAAAGTATTCGGAAGGGGAGAGACTCCGCTCTGTTGGCGAGCGTTCCCTTAGCCCATCGTGGATAAATCGATCGAGCTCCATAGTCTTTGTGCCACGACAGTAGAATGCCCGACTCCCGACAGGAAGTTCACGCCACCGAACTAGGGTCCCTCGAAACGAGGCCTGAGTTCTGGCCCTCGCCCGGTATTCACCCTGGCCGTTTGATCGGTTTCTCCACACTGACAAACAATACAAAACGAGTACATTCCCGCCATAAAACTCTTAGCAAAAAATGAAACGTCCTAAACAGGCTAGTTTGTCAACAAACACGCAAAAAATACTAGTTAATATTCAAAACAAACAACCAATGGCCAGAATTTAAACAAAATGACCACTTGGGCTGAAATTGTACGAATATTACATAAACGGACAACTGCCCAAGAAACAAATACAATGAAAATGGCACGCATGCCGAAATAAACACAGTCATCCTTACAATTCCCCTTCGACAATGGGCGACATCTGGGCAGGACCCTCGTTCGGTTGAGCAACGATATCTCTTAGGTAATTGGGAACCAGAATTTGGCTGTCGACCACATAGTAATTGACCCCCATGCTCGAGGTATTAAGTTCGACACTAGGATTCAACACACGCATCTGATTCACTATGTTCTTGAAGCTCCCCTCATAAGCACCTTAGCATCATCCACGGACAACTAGAAACGAGCAACTAGCTCGGCCCGTGTCTTCAGATCTCTAGTGTCATCCAGCTCGTCCTCAGCAAGCGCAATCTCAGCAGTTAAAGTCGCTACCTTTCCCTCAAGACTATCTCTCTCAAGAAAAAGAGCCATGCGCTCCTCAGAGAGCTTCTCTGATTCTGCCTCAGACACCTTCAGGGTTTTGTCCTTCTCGACCAAGACCTTCTCGCTCGCCGCCAGCTTGACCCACATGTTCTTCATTTCTGCTTCCTGAGATGAACTCCCCTCAGTATATGCAACTACCATCTCCAGGATTCGCATTAAACTGCCCGCATCTTGGGCGAGCGTCGCCCTCTTCTCTGGATGGGCCATTCCCTCGAGAAGGAAAGATTCGGCCCGAGGAAGGCGGGGAGTTGCACCCTCGAAAAAAATACTATTCCAGCCAACAAAGAGGCAAGTCATACGTCCCTTTCCCCGTTTCTCCAGTCAAGTCGATGCTCCCGTCGGTCCGCGGTCTCTTCGCCTTTGAGGAAACGGCAGCGGGAGACAGAGCGACTGTGGTATGAGCTGAGGACGAGCCGCCCGACCCCGAAGCAGGAGCTGGCCCCACGCCAGCATGTGCATCCTTCATAGCCCTTCTCACCCGAGAAGCAAGTGCCTTGGCCAAACGTTCCTGGGTAGGATTCATGCTTTCTGCAAAACAAACGAGAAAAGAGAATAGTCAGTAAAACTAGGAGTCAAACAAGCGACAATCACATACTGGTATTAAAGAACATATATATACCCAAATATCTAACAGGATCCTCACTTTCGAGGAGCTCCTTGAAATTTATAAGGCTCGGCTCATACACGGGCTCTCCGTTCCTATCCAACACTGCCCTACCCCCCGACCAACTCGCTGGACCGGAGGGATTCGAGCCACGAACACAGTCAGAGTTGTAAAACTCTCCAGATCTTTATCCCCGAGCTCCCCCTCTCTCCAAACATAGGAGCCCAATTCTCGCTCGAAGTGCTTGCTGGTCCAATGAAACGGGAACTTGCAAATCAGCGTTGCAGTAGGCTCCCCCAGCTTGTTTAGACGAGGAGTCCCATCCTCGTTGAGCGAAGGCGTGGTCCTAAAAACGTTCAACACCGCCTTAGTCGACGAGGGATGCACCAAGATATACTTATCCTTAAAATGGCGGACAGACTCCAGATAGGCCTTGAATAACTTCCCAGTGCCTTGCTTGAGGGAGACCCATCCCCACTTTCTGTCGGTCTTATTCCTCTGAATGTGAAAGCAGTAGAAAAACAATGGGATTGTGGCCCCTATCTTCAAATGGTCACATACTATCTGGAACGCTCGCACGAACGCGATACCGTTCGGATACAATTGGGAAGGAGCCACTCGAAAATGCCGAAAAACGGCCACCTCGGAGTCAGAGAAGGGGAGGCAAAGACCCATCTCTCAGAAGACAATGTCGTACATCGGGATCCGCCTTCTGTCATACTTCGAGCAAATCCTTCTCTCCTTCCCAGGGATATATAACGACCACTCCTCCGGGGCCCCATCCTTGTGAGTGAACATGTCAGTGAAGACATCTTCCCTGTGCTCATAAAAATACGACCGCCACTCCCAGGGGTCTTTCGCGACCCAATCCTGAGGGTCCTCCTCGTCTCTAGGAGGGAACAAGATTCCCTGAACCACAAATTTCTCCCCCACGTCGGGCTCCCCCATATGCTTTTCCATCCGATTCTGCATGTCCCCGAAAAGTTCCAAGATGATCGACGAACTACTTGCCTCGCTCGAAGAACTCCTAGAAGACTGCGTGGATTCACTCGAAATAGCGACCTGTGCATCATCAGCCATGGCACCTGAAAAGCAAAGGTAAAAGATAAGCTCGACATCAATGCCATATCCACCCTTCCACCACTAAATAAGCAAAAGGGCGCTGGGAAACGAGGATCACATCCCCGACCAAAACCCTTACTGAGGCACACTAACGGGCACGGATTGTAGAAAAAAAACCCTAAGCCCTAATGAGCCACCTACAACGCACGACAAAATCCCCGAGGAGACCCCACGACGGCTCAGACAGTCATACACCATAGAAACGCCATCCACTACCAAGAATCTCCAACGACTTCCTCTGTAATGGAAACCTAAATCCTAACCGCGAGCAGAGAAACTGAGCAAACGTCGGTGGTCGACTGTCGAGCTAATACGAGCAGTTGGAAGAGAATGCGAAAAATACTAAACGCCCTGTTCCTCTCGTATTTACAGCTGGAATAGTATGCGCGTATTAAACACGCGCCTGGGAAACCCTAGGGTCGTCATCATGACACCCTATCCCTAAGTCATCATTGTGTCGCTTCGCCAGCACACTTCCCAAAACACGCTACCTCTCCAAATTCAAAAGTTCTAACGGCCAAAGCCTCGCCTCCCCGGAAGCTAGGTGTAACGAGCAACACTCGTTCCCCCGTAAGACACGCCCCGTTCCTCGAGTAGATGTCAAAGTCATCACTCTTGTGCCCAGAAGCAACGACTTGGGGGGCTACTGTTCTGGATTGGCCCGACAGCTTGACTGGGCCCGGTCCAAGAGATCCCCTTGGGTACAGCCCGCACGACCATAACCTGGATTGCCCGCACGACCATCTCTTGTCGGGCAATGACAACCATTTTCCCTTCAGCTTCACCACTGGCCCAGGATGATCGACGAGCATCCTCTCTGTCTTCCTGACTCCAACGTCGTGCAGGCCACTAGAAACCGACCAGAGAGATGCCCGTAATTCGTCCCTTTCTCGGAATCAACGGCTAGTTACGGGCACATCTGCCCGGTTTGACCAAGTCTTGGCAGTTACCTGATTTCCCGAACCCACATATCTAGGCGGGAAATCAGGAACCAATGGGCACGCGCCAGTGGCATTATATAAATCCTCACACCTGTGAGAGCCAGGTATCCAATATTCACTACTCACTACCTGATATTTTTACTTGTACCTCCTTGTTCCCACTCTTACTTGATCGTCGGAGTGTCTTGCAGGTACAATCCCCTTTTTTCCTCAGCTCATAGCCCAACTGCGAATCATCCTCCGATCACTCTTCAGGTTTTGATCAACCGGCAAGATCACTAACCTTACTACTAATTCCTCCATCCATGATTTCCCCCTCCTCAAAAAACTGTAGTGTTTTTACTATAATATTCTATGATTTTTAAATTTTAAAAAATATTGTGTTTTTAGATTTTTGATAAATTTTTTTGAGTTTTTATAAGATTTTGAAGAACTTCATGAGTTTTTATTGAATTTTTTAGAGATATATAAATTTTTACCATTTTTTAGAGAATCGAACAAGTTTTTATCAAATTTTTAAAAAAAAAATCTATAAATTTTTATCAGAATTTTTAAAAAACCGATCTAAAGTTAATTTTTATCGAATTTGAACTCTCTAATTCTTCAAATATAAAAATCTGTTTTCAAAAAATTATAATTTTTTATTAAATTTTTAAAAAAATCCGTAGTGTTAATTTTTTTTTGCTATTTAAATTCAATTACCGAATTTAAAAAAAAATATAATTCAAAACGTTACCAATATATATATCAGATTTGTCAAAAATCCAATAATGCATTTTGGTCAATACTCAGTCGTTGATTTAACATTTAGGAAAAATCCGAGTGTTTTTGTGACCTATTTTTTGGTTAAATTTTAATAAAGATATTTTGCGGAAAAATAGGGTGCGGCACAAAATTCCTAACCTAACCTAGAATTCCTGCAACTCAGAAAACAGAAGACAAAGAGAGTCGAGAAGAAAACTTGCAGCTGACGAAGAATATCAAGTGTAGAATATCATCTTTGCATATATTTGAAACTCCGTCCAAGGTAGTGGAACGTTGAACCAATCAGGTACTTAAATTCTGTTTTCTGAAAATACCTGTTGTTTTCCTATTAATCCGCGTATTTCAGTTTTTGCACGGAAACTGTTTGATAAAAGTTCTGACCGAATGTGTAAAATTTGTGAAGATCTTCATAATTTGGCCTGATCACTGCTGAGGGACATTTTATTTTTTTTTAAGGTCAAATGGCACCAAGATGGAAAGGAAAAGATGCAAAATCGAAAAAGGATGCAGAGGCTGAGGCACTTAAAGAACCCATGTCAAAGATTGTATCGCAACTTCAGTCTTCTTTAGTTCAATCAAATGCTTGTGGATCTCTCTCTGATAGTTCTGTCCACATAGCAGTGCAAGCTGAACAACTTGACCTGCTTGATAAAGCATACTTTGGTCAACCTGTGAGAAACGTTGCAAAAGACATGTACTGGTTTCAATTAACCTTGGAGGAAGCATTCTACCTATGTTATTCCTTGAAATGCCTCAAGATTAATCGTGGTGCTGATACTAGTCCCTTGAATGATGAAGAGTTGTGGCGTTGCTTCAACTCCAAGAAACAAGCATTCTCTTTTTACTACAAGGCTTATTCTCACCTTCGAATGAAAAACTGGGTTGTAAGGTCAGGGGCTCAGTATGGTGTAGACTTCATTGTCTATCGTCATCATCCTGCACGGGTCCATTCTGAGTATGGTGTACTTGTTCGATCACAGGATAATGATGATGATGATGATGATGTAAATGGAAGATTGAGAGTATGGTCTGATGTTCAATGCACTACTCGACTTCTTGGAAGTGTTGCAAAAACCTTATTAGTTTTGTATGTTAACAAAAATGGTCACAGTGACGGGTCTCCGTTATATTTGGAAAACTATGCTGTTGAAGAGCGGACGATCTCTAGATGGAGTCCTGAACAATGTCGTGAAAGATCCTTATAGATATTAGTAGTACTATTATTCCAGTTCTACATCATTTAATAACTGTTTCTTTTTGTTTTAAATCTCTAAACACAAGCAGAAATACTCATTGTTAGTTTACAATCAATATATAATCAATCTCTAACTAAATAATTCATAGTTAATCTATTGCAATTCTATAGCTTATCAATCTCTAACTAAGTTACTTTTTTGCATATCAAGATTTTCAGAATTTACTGTGATGCTGATGAACCGGACATTTGAGATTGAAGCCTCTTTCGAGGTTGATTCTCTTGGGCAAGTTGGCAAGTTGTGACATAGATTGGCTCAGTTCTACCCCACCATAAAAAAATGTGAGGCTTGTTTAGTCAAACTCAACTAAGCTACAAAAAATGTTAACTACATATTAAGAATATATTAAGAATATATTTGAAGATACATCTATGTCAATTCCACAAAAACATGAAGAGAAAATCTTGTTTATAGTGAGGTGCATTTGAGTAACAGCTTATATAAACATCTGTTTCTATTCAAGTTGTAAATAATATTCAGAAGATATTCTAAAGAGATTGTTGAAATGCACTGAAAACAACTTATAAACATGTCATAAACAAAATTTAAAATATCCATCAAAACATATATATATATATAAGTTGTAAGTAGGTCCATAAACAAATTTTCTACTGTAACAACAGCAACTGAGCTGAGCTCACCTCAAGAAGTCACAATAATAATATACACAGAAAAAGTTTGTCATGCACAATTATTTCCTTTTCATTCCCATCCTAACCCAATCACATTCCTACAAAACACTGAAATCAAATTCTTATATTGCCCTATCCATTATTTTCTATATCTCTTCATCCTCCATTTTTTTTGTGAAAGGGTCCTAATCATCGTTCTTGGCCATTTAAAGTTAGTTCATCCATTTAAAATCTTTAATAATAATCTAATCAATAGAGAGAGAAATAGTTTATATAAAATATAGAATTAAAGTTTCATTAATCTATCTTTGAATAATGCGGTATTCTATTTATTTATCTTTAAGGTGAAATTCTGGTCATTAATCTTACCAAATAAATAATTAAAAGTAAATAGTATTAGATGTATTTTTCATCCTTATAGTTATTTTGAATTCATGTATTAACATTTAAAAAAACAACAGATAGTTGATAAACTAATCTATTTATAAGCTAGTTGACTGCTTCTATAAGATAAACGGATTGAAATTGTAGTCTTTAATAAGATTAATGGTTGAACTAACTTAAAAACATGAAATGACATCAAAAATATATATATTTAATTAATTTTAGTTTTTTTAAATTAAGATTACAAGGATAAAATTGAGTGAAAAATAATAAACTATAAATTAATTAAATTAACCTATCAAAATAAGCTAAATTAGTGAACAAATGACAATTATCAAACAAATCTTTTTTAAACATATGAATTTATAAACAACAAGTTATAAGTAAAATAATTGGTCTTCAGAGACTCAAAGTGGCTACATCCTTACAATTACTAAGACTAAACATAAAAATAAAAGTATAAATTTAATAAAAACTAAATATATATTTAATTTTGCATAAAAAAACTTATTTAAACTTATCTTGTCATATAAATTCTAATTTAATAATTTACAAAACATATAAAAAATAATTTATGATGTGTATATATAGTGTTTTTCTTAAACAAATCTATACTTCAGTTTTAGATTATTGAATTAAATTCTTTAAGATTATTATGGAGTATAAGTTATCAATTATAGTTTATCCATAAATATCATTTTAAAATTAAATAAAATATTGAGAAGTTTCAAATAGCACATGGTATATTAGTAAGCTATATTATGGTAATTTTTTGATCAAGTGGTATATTATGGTTATTGAATAAGAGTTTAGTTAATTGTTAATCCTAAACCTATCAAGTGATGGAACAGAAAATATGAAAAACTTACCACCAATAAGCAGGTTGATTGAGAGTAATGTCGAAGATTCTAACACTTTTACAACCAAGAAATCTAACAAAATTTAGGGCTACATTCATCACCCAAATAACTCCCTGTTTCATTGAAGTTCTCCATTACATTCTTCCTCGGATTATATCTCTTGGTATATTGGATTGGACTTTGGTCCGACAGAGATAGCTTCCATAGTTCAATAGAGATTAAGTATGAAGTTGAAGTCGAACATGTTGTTGTCAAAAATATGCTATGTTGTTAGTATGTTGAATTGAGCCAGCTTGTTAGCTCAATTATTTAAGATAACTTGTTACTTGAGTTAGCTTAGTTGTCTATAAATAAATTAGTTCTTTCAGGTTGTTGATAGAGGTTGTTAGTTGTTGGTATTCACTTGTAATATGTAAACCCTAATAGAGAAAGTGAATAGTAAACTATTATAACCAATCTTGATATTTATTTCATCTTCTATCTGAAGGTGCGAAGAAAACGCAAGACAGAAAAGGTTTGAATTGAGTTTTCCTTTCTTGAAAAACATTCGCTTCTAAGCATTATTCGTTGAACAATGCTTTTGATTGTCGCTTCTAATTAAGGCTTCTAATTTGATTCAGAAATCATAAACTCTAAAGCATAAGCAAAAGTAAAGAACACGCGATATATCCTGGTTCACTTGAGAAACCCCCAAGCTAATCCAGTCCATCCTTCCGAGGTGATTTCGCCTTGAACTCAAGAACTTAATCCACTATAATCACTCTGATTACAATCGCACGGGCAACTTCCAGTGACTAACATCCAATGAAACGTTTAGGGATCTAAATTGGATATAACGTTCATTGGCCTAATAGAATCCGATTCTCCAGAATCTCCTATCAGGATTTCCTTCCAATGATATCCATCAGTGATCTCAGAAGGCTGACCTTCACTCAATCCCCTTTGAGATATGACTACCATTGACCCAATAGAATCCACTATCATAATTTCATCTATGATGGACGCATCCAAAGTATTCTTGAGAACTCTAACTCAACTGAGTCTCTTAAGAAACCATCAAACAACTGTTTGATTAACTTTTGTTTACAGTAATAATGCTTCTACACGAGCTGGATGTAAACAGAATTAAGTACATCAGAAGAACCTAATACACACTAAAAGACATTACATTTTATTGTAGCATCAATGTGTGATCTTCTTTTCTTCAAGTAGCTTCTTCTCGGACAACAACCCAAAGCACTTGAATTGCTGAAGTCTTCATCTTCATAAGCTTCTGAAAGCCTTATTGATATTGATGTAGTAAAGAGAAGAACTTCTTCATCTAGATCCACTTTAGAACATTCTTGACAACATCCCTTGTTATTCTTTCTTCATTGATCACCTTAGAGAACAACATTGATGTTGTGGATATGTAATTGGAGCTTTCATGATCATCTTTATTATCTTTTGCGGCTTATCAAGCTTTGTGCAGCATATGAGATTCAACATATTATGAATCTATGATTTCATTGTAATCAGTATCAACATGATTGAAGATTCATTTGATAACAGTTGTTCTGGTTTTTGTTATAGTGGATGATAACTTTGTTTTGGTTGTGTTCTAATAATGAAAGCTTTTCTTTTTAACTTGAACATTAACAACTCGTGACTTGTAACTTGCAACTTTTAGTACCCAGCCAAGCAGCTTATAGCAAGCTTATCAAGGTTTAGCTTGTTCGACATCATGTGTTAAGCAACCAACTAACCAACCAACAATTTTAATCATACGATTATTTTCTTATATAGCCAAGAAAAATAGAGTTGTTGGATATTTGAAAAAGAGTCGTTATAAATAGTACTACAACATCTTTATCTCTTCCACACTTTAAGTTAGTGGAGAGGTAGTGGTATAAAACTTTTTGTATTGTGTACTATTATACTGTGTTACCGTTGTATTCTTTCCTTATGCACTTCAGAGGCTTCTGCGAGCATGAGATTAGAAGAAGTAACATAACATAAGGTCTTCAGAACTTCAAGTATTCAGAGTCTTGAGAACTGCGTCTTTAGAGTCTTCAGCACTTGGTCGTGATAACCCGTTGTAGTGAACCTTTAGATCAGAAGAGCTTTAAGTCTTCAGAGTCTTAAGAACTGCGTCTTTAGAGTCTTCAGCACTTGGTCCTCACAACCTATTTGTAGATAACCATGGACCTTTAGAACTTCAAGTGTTTGGAATCTCCAGACCTTCTATCTTTAGAATCTTTAGCACTTGGTTCTTTAAGAATGCTTATCTTTAGAACAGTGTTATTAGAAACACAAAGTCTTCAGCTTCTAGACTTCATTTAGAAACCTTGTCTTCAGATCTTTTAACTTTGTCTTCTTTGGAACAAGTTGTCTTTTAGAAATTAAGCTTTTAGCATCTTGACTTCATTAGAAACTTTGTCTTAATATCTTCTAACTTTGTCTCTTGAAACACAATGTCTTTTAGAAACGTGAGTCTTCAGCATCTGGATGTAAGCAACAACTTCTGTCTTCAGATCTTCTGACTGGTTTCTTTAGAACACGTTGTCTTTAGAAGCTTGAGTCTTCAGCATCTGGACATAAGTAACAACTTCTGCCTTCAGATCTTTTGACTGGTTTTTTCAGACAAATATAAGAGTTTACACTTCAGAGTCTTCTGGAGTGTCTTACTATTGTTCAACAAAACTTGTGCAGCATAGAAGCAAAATTATTTCTCTTATAATGTCTTGGCCACGCCATCCATCAAAAGCAGAACCTATTTGTTAAGTACTCAACAATAACAAACATTAGTATAATAAAATTGTTCATACAATCATACTCATTTGTTATCATCAAAATTCAAATGATATTGCAGAACCAAATCTTGTTCGTACACTATCTTCTCTCTCTTTTGCAAAATCTAATAGGATTTCTTGTGTTTGTTCAAGAAACTTAATATTTCTCATAGTTTTGAGTTGTTCTTGACGGTACTCCGTTACAACAAACGGGTGCGGTGAAGGCGGAGAATAAGATGTCGTCAAAAAGTATGAGATTGAGAAATTCACTCCGGAGTGAATGATTTCGTCTATGGTGCTTG